CAGAACATGTACGGTGATTTATGATGTGTCAGAACAAATAAACAATCTTTCAAGAAAGAGAAATGGCAGTCTAAATTGTTTTCGACAAAAAGTTGTAGGAAAAAAACGATTTTTCATGACTAAAGTTGTGTTCAGTAATTTTTTGAAAATCTAATAATCAAATGTTTTGCCCATGTTCATGATCGAGTCAATAAAGTTTAGCAATATCTAAATTAATCTAATGCAGAAATTTCTATGTGTCTGACGTGATACTAATAGATTCTCTACGAGCATCATTGTCACTTCTGTTTATTGAATCAATTAGCTGTCAAATTAAGGAGTTCTAGCGCATAACGCAAAAGTTTTGGATCTAGGTATATACACCGGTTTACCTCGTTCTCGGCTGAATGATATTTACGGTATATAAAACCTTATTCAGTCCAGAAGAGTAGTCTCTTGAATTAAATTCATACTTCTAGGTTATTCTAGATATAACAAAGCCATTTTCAACGGATTTGGTTTTGTAAAACTGTTCGTTTGTTCACTTATATCTTGCCGTCGTTTCAGGCTAGCGTCTTATTTTATAAATCATCATTATTTTTATTAAGAATTTGTAATCTAATTGATTATAGTATGTACAACTTGTATGAGGAGAAATATTGTAGCTGTCTGGTTAAATTGTAGAAATTTTGCCTTTTCTGGTTAAGATGAAACCACGAAATCTTATTTCTCAATATTTCTCCTTTTCAGTAGCGACCTGACAGGTGTTGTTTTCATTTTTAAATAATCTAACATTTTTCTCTCTAAGAAGAACAAGTTGAAAAGTTGCTTTCGGATCATTTAGAACTTTTTATTTACGCTCGGTTAGATGTTTTGAATGCTAATTTGTTTTATTTTTAGCAACAATTGATGATCCGTTAGCATTAAATGATGACAATGAAAGAATAATAAATAATCATCAAGATGACCAGGAAATGAGTAAAAGCAACTCCACATATACGTCTGATCATCTTTTCTTTCAAACCGACATGGCAAAACTGATTTGATGACATCATTTTCCGGAATGTGCAGAATATGTAAAAGAAACGTCTAATGAAATGAAAATTGTTCTTTAAAATTCTGGTTTTCTTTAGTAGACTATGAAGTTTGTTTCTGACATTGTTTCACAAAAGAACAACAGACAGTGAGCGTTTTGAGGATTCAATTATGATTGTAATGCTGTTTATGCGAATGCCGTCTCCAAGTGTGCCAACGAATGCCAATAGTACACTAACAATTTAAAATGTGAAAACCTATCAGTTAGAGACATTCGCAGTGTTAAAACAATGGTTCGCTTTAAACGCATTTATTGAAGACTTTTCACCACTGTATATGTCGTTTCATGAGGCATCCATCAACTTTCAAGGAACTTTCAAGGAATTAAATGTATGTTTTCTCTTCCCTTTTTTAGATTGTTATTCGCTAAAGAATGCAGATAAAATTTTTAAAACAGATATCTGAGCCAGTCAACGGTGAAGCGCAAGTATCTACAATATGTTTTTCACCAAATGGTCAAAAATTAGCAATGTGTATCGATCGCGTTATTCAATTGTACGATGATCTGGGTGAACTGAGAGACCGTTTTGCCACAAAACCTATTGATTCGAAATATGGTCGACAATCGTATGTTGTAACTTCCATGGATTTTTCACCCGACAATGCAATGTTAGCAATTGCTCAAAGTGACAATATTGTGTTTGTCTATAAAATTGGACATGATTGGGGTGAAAAAAAGTCCATCGTTGCCAAATTTGTTCAAAATTCAAATGTCACAACATTGATATGGTTGCCTGATGGACAAATTATATTTGGTTTAGCTGATGGAAAATTGAGATCGGGAAATGTAAAAAAGAATAAATCACAAACATTATTTACAGCTGAACAATACACTATTTCATTAACAGCAAACATAACGAAAAAAGCAATATTATCAGGACATGCTGACGGTTCAATTTGTCGTTTTATTATTGAAGATGAAGGAACAGGTGATAAATCAGGATTAGTTGTACGTCATAGTTGTCCGCCAGGTGCCATTGTATGGACACCTCACGGCATAATTGTGGGTGGCTGTGATCGACGCATTGTTATTTACAATAAAGATGGAAAAGTATTACAACAATTCGATTATAGTCGAGAAGCAAATGAGAGAGAATTTAGTGCTGGAATATGTAATCCAACTGGTAATATATGATTTCTTTTAATAAAAATGCAAAAATTGATCTTTCAATTCTTATATATATATATATATATGTACATGTTAGTGATAACCATACTCTTTTTTCTTTTATGTAGGACAAGAAGTTGTATTTGGTTCTTATGATCATATTCGTTTATTTTCTTATCAACCAAGAAAAGGTTTATTTGAAGAGGGACCCATGAAAGAAATAAAAAATATGTATACGGTGACATCGATGTCATGGCGTTTAGATGGTTCTCGTTTTGCTATAGCCAATTTAACAGGTGGTACATTTTTATTTAATTGTAGTTTAAAAAAACAAAGTATTAAGGGAAAATATGAAATTAATTTTGTTAGTTTATCCCAAGTATTAATTGAAAATAAATCGACACAAAAACGTATGGATCTTGTATCAAAAAATGGTTTTGAAATAGTGGATGTAAAAATTTTGGGCAAAGATCGTTATGCCGTTGGTTATACGGCTCATACACTATTACTACTTGATCTTGATGATGATAAACAACAAAGACGATGTGAAGTTCATTGGCAATCGAATGGTGATGAAAAATTTTCATTTGAAAATGAAAATGTTTGTATGATATTTTGTAATGGCGAACTAACATTGATTGAATATACTGGTCAACGAGGTATTCTATGTACAGTGAGAACAGAATTTTTAAATCCAAATTTAATTAGTGTTCGTATTGAAGAGCGACACATGTATGGAAATAAAAAAATGGCCTATTTATTAGATAGTAGAACAATAGCTATTATTGATTTGATGTCAGTTAGTGGTGGATCATTGATTGGACAGATACAACATGACTCAAATATTAATTGGTTAGCACTAAATGAAACCAGTAAATATTTATTATTTCGAGACAAAAATTTAAAATTATATTTATATAATTTATCGACTAGTAATAAGCTATGTATATTAAATTTTTGTGTCTACGCTCAATGGTAAGTAAAATAAATAAATTTACTACGCTACTAAAACTTCATTTTTCTTTAAAAGGATTCCCGATAGTGATGTTGTTGTGGGTCAATCACAAGATAATTTATCTATTTGGTATAATATTGAACATCCTGAAACATGTGATATAAAACCTATTAAAGGTGATGTTCAAGAAATTATTAAACAAAAAAATAAAACTGTTGTCAAATTAAATGATAATGGTATTCAATCACAGATTGAATTAGATTCGAATAAAGTTGAATTTAATACGGCTATTAATGATAATGATTTTCGTCGTGCTGTAGCCTATTTAGATGCTTGTACATCAGGAACAAATGATACAAATTCTGAAACAACCAATACATTATGGGAAACATTAGCACATTTATCCTATGAAAAACAAGAATATCTCATATCTGAACGAGCATATACAGCCACAAGACAAATGGCCAAAGCACGTTATCTACATATGATCAATCAAATGGCAAGAGAAAAAAAAAATGGTTATGATAACTATGAAGTTCGAGCAAAATTAGCCATATTTGAGAAAAACTTAAAAACAGCCGAATCAATCTATTTAGAAAATTCGGATGTTGATAAAGCTATTGATATGTATCGAACATTACATCATTGGGATGAAGCAATTTATGTAGCTGAAAGAAAACATCATCCACAAGCGGATGAATTAAAACAAATTTATTATAAGTGGCTAAAGGATACAAAACAGATTGCTCGTGCTGCCGATTGGAAATTGAAACAACATGATTACGATGAAGCGATATCATTGTATTTGAGTACAAATTTACCATCAAAAGCTGCTCAAATTGTTATGCAAAATCCGACAATGATGCGTGATGTCGACTTAATTACTCGCATTGCACTTGGTCTTGTTAAAATTGACATGTATGAATTAGCCGGAGACTTGTATGAACATGTTCATGAAGATTCAAAAGCTCTTGAGTGTTATAAAGCAGGAAAATGTTTTCGTAAAGCTGTTAAATTAGCGAGAAAAACGTCGCCAGGTGATGTTGTTAAATTAGAAGCATTATGGGGTGATTATTTATATGAACAAATGCAATTTATGGAAGCTATCACACATTTTATTGAAGCTGGGGAAAATATGAAAGCTGTTCGAGCGGCTATTAATGGACGACAATGGCCAAGAGCATTAGAAATATTAGAACAACAAGATAATGATGAAAATGCAGCATGTTACAAACAATTAGGTAAGATTTTGAACACCAACAAACTTCGAAAAGTAGCTTTCATTTATTTATTTAAGCTCAACATTTTGCTCAAATGCAAGAATATGAAAAAGCAGAACGATGTTATGTGAAAGCATCAAGTCCTGGTGAATGTGTTGAAATGTACAATCGTTCTGGTAAATGGGATCAGGCATATCGTATTGCTACGAAGTATATGAAAAAAGAAGAGGTGGCAAAATTATATTCGAATCAAGCTAAAGAATTGGAACAAAAAGGTCGATATAAAGATGCCGAAAAATTGTACATTATCATTAATGATAATAGTTCGGCAATATTGATGTATAAACGAATAAAAAATTATGAGGGTCTATTACGTCTTGTCAAACAATATTATCCGGATAAATTGAAAGAAACAGAGTTGAATATAGCTAAAGAATTGGAGCAAGAGAAACGTTTCAAAGAAGCAGAGGTGCATTATGTCCAATGTGGAGAATGGAAAGCAGCGGCAAACATGTATCGACTATTAGATCAATGGGATGATGCCTATCGTATTGCTCGTCAACATGGTGGACCAGTGCCAGCACAACAAGTAGCATTTTTTTGGGCGAAAAAATTGGGTGGTGAAGCGGGTGTTAAATTATTGAATAAATTGGGTCATGCCGAACAAGGGTTAGAGTTAGCTTGTGAACAACGAATATTCGAATTTGGTGAGCGTTAATGTTTGAATTCTTTCTTCTATCATAAATCTTTGTGATTCTTGTTTTAGCATTTGATATTGCACGAATATTATTAAAAGAAAAAATACCCGAAGTTCATTATAAATATGCACTTTATTTGGAAGATGAACATCAGTATCATGAAGCAGAACAAGAATTCATCAAAGCAAAACGTCCTCGAGATGCTGTACTAATGTATGTACAAAATAAAGATTGGGATAAAGCACAACGTATTGCACAACAATATGATAAATCATTGTTAAATGATGTACTCATTGGACAAGCAAAAGAATCTTTTGATCGAAATGATTTTCCAAAAGCTGAATCTTTTTTGTTACAAGCACAACGAGCGGATTTGGCTATCAAGTTATACAAAGAAAATGGTAAAAAACGTCTTTAGCTTCTAAGATTTAACGTTAACTTTATCCCATTTATCTCTTTTTCTAACAGGTATGTGGCAAGATGCAATACGCGTGTGTCAAGAATATGCACCAAACAAGTTAGATGAATTAAGAGAAGAATTTGGCAAACGTGTAAACGATAAAAGTACTGGTTATGGAAATGATGGTTTATTAGAACAAGCAATCAAATGTGAATCGAATGGCGAATATCCACGTGCTGTTGAATTGTATCTGAGATTAACGCCACAACACGATATACCAAAAGAAACACTGATTAAAGCTTATCTGAAAGCAAGTGATATTGCTCGTAAATTTTTACCAGAAAATAGAGCTCAACAAGTTGTTCGAGTATGTAACTACCATCATTAAGAGATATAAATCAGTAATAGAGTAATGTGTGTTGTTGGTTTTTTGTAGACAATTGGTCCGCGATTAATTCAGCTGGGTAATCCGAATGTGGCTGCTGAACAATTTTTACAATCTGATTTATACAAAGAAGCTGTTGACGCATTTGTTGCTGCCAAACAATGGGAAAAAGCGAAAAAAGTGGCAATTGAAATTGATCCAGCATTAGCTAGATACGTTGATGAAGAATACAAGAAACACTTGATGAAACATGGCAATCCAACAGATATAGCATCGATTGATGCACAAGCGGCATTAGATATGTATGTTGAGAAAAATCAATGGGATGAATGTTTTCACGAAGCACAAAAACATGGACCACTTGTACTACACAGTTATATAGCTAAATATGCTGCACATATGATACAATCAAATAGACCAGAATTAGTGGCAAATGTTTATAAGAAATATGGTGCTATTGCAATACCACAAAATTTTCGAATATATAAAGCTTTATTTTATCGAATGCTGAGGTAAATACATTTTATTCATGTGATAATTTAATTCTTTATGATCTTATTTAGGGTTGACTCATTAAAACATGAAAACTATCCTAAATGGGCTGATATTCGTGATGTTTTGTATGATGTTTTCGAAAATATGCAAACATCAACCGGTTCATCATCGAACGTTCAACGTGAAATTGATGAACAACGTCCAGCGTTTGAAATTCTCTTATGGATATCTCATTTTTATTCTATGCGTTGTGCATGTTCTGAACACGATCAACTGGACGTTATAACAGCAAAATTAACGATATCATTGTTAAGACACTCAGATATCATACCTACAGACAAAGCATTTTATGAAGCTGGTATTATGTGTAAAAAAGTACAATGGGATAATATGTCAATGATGTTTTTAAATCGATATTTGGATATTGTGGATGCTATTGAAGAACATAATTTAGACATGTTAGCCACATCCGAAGTACGTATCTGATATAAGGATATTATATTCTGTGTTAAAAATATGGTAGAACAATAGATTAATCTGTAATATCTTAACTTTTAGTTTGTTGATACCGATATACCATATGAAATTGAATTACCGGAGCAAACATTTTTACCTCCTGAACAACATGAAAAAGTGAAAGAGTATGTTTTATCCGTATCAATGAAACAAGCTGTAAGCATCTTACTAATACGTCATAGATATATATATATGTTTTTGTATACGTCACATTCTCTTTTTAGATAAAACCATCGTTGCGCAAAGATTCAAGAAATTGCGTTGAATTTGCATTGACAAATCCTGAATCGGGCACTCGAAATTCTCCGTGTATCATTACCGGTTATCCAGTGTTGGATGATAGTATTTCATTTGAAAAATATAATTTAATGGCAAATAAAGAAGATTGGAACAAATTTATTTTAACAGCTAAATCCATTAGACATGAATCATTACAAGATTGTGTGAGATTCATAGGAAAATGGACAGGCAGTGTGCCGAACGTTAGCTTATAGATGAAACAATTTTCCTACTATTTTTTACTTTTTATGTCGTTTTTGTAACGCGCGAGACAGTTTTTGTAGCTTTTATTGTATAAATAAGAAAAATTCGAACAATAATAATTGTTATTTTATGCAATGATTCATGATAGTCCTGTGTTTAATGGTGGTGTATCTGTACCGCATGCAGGGATAAATAAATACACACCATTGAAGAAAATTCATAAATCCGTTACTGATAAAAAGTATGTATCCCTAAGGAGGCACTTATAATTGATCTTATACTCTGCAATTTTTACATGTAGTTGATAATTCTCTCTACCAGCGTTCAGAAAAAGAACGTTCCAAAATCACAAAACTTCGAAAATATACGTATTTTGTTTTCATGTACAATTTCGAACATTCAAATTCAGTAACCAACGAAATAAAGACACCCTTAGGTGTTTTAACTGAGTGAACATAAGTGTTTAAATTGCGAGACAAAGTGCGAGATTATATAGAAGACTGCAATGTTTTATTACTGTGATCATTATTATCGATGATTTCTGCTGTGTGTATGTAGTTTAATCAGTAAAATGCATTTTTCTTTATTTCTACAAAGTAAAAAAAAAATTGAAACACTGTCACATCAACAGTTGAAAAAGATGAGTTAACAAAACTAGTTCACTTTCGTACATAGTGGACAGAGAAAATTATTTTAATTCTTATTAATAAATAAGAATTTTACAAAGTTTTACATTATTAGCACAATTCAAAACTAAGACAGCTGTACATAAGGTTAAATCATTAATTGAAGGAAGGAACATCGATTTCATTCATATAAAAATTCACAAATAATATTAATAATATTCCCGAGAGAAGAAAAATAATGACATCTGACTGATGAGTTTGAGAGTAATCTTATTGAATGAAAAAATTAGACAATACTTTTGACATATCAGGAACATGCACGATCACGTTTTTCGTTGATGTTCAACTATTTCTTGGAGTTTACTTTCTGTCATTGTTAGTCTTGTTTCCAATATGGAAACCGTCTATAATTAATAGATAAAGTAAATAAATCAAAAGGTTGTTTCAAAAAAAGAAAGATATGAAAATTCATTAGCTCTTTATATTCTCTCAAGTTGCAGATGCTTATGGACGAGGGCTGGGAGATGGTCAACAATGTGTCCCGACATCTTTCTAGCTTATATACAAGGCTACGCGCTCTCTTTTTAACTTATTATTCTTATTATACTTTCATACTTTTGTACCTGTCACTCATTTAATTCCCTAAGTCTTTAACTCTCTTTACTTTTCTACGGAGTTGATGGCCCGTTAGAATGCAAATACTTTTCTGACTTACTCTCACCCAGCTCTCCTTCACGAGCACATACATAACTTTGCGTGTGTGTCTGTGTCGAAAAAATGCGTACATTTGTACTCTAACATATATATATATATATCTAGCCAGACTATTGTTGGCTACGACTTGTATCTTACAAAGTGACTAAAGGGAGTACAAGACTAACAGGACTAAAGTGAGTAAAAAACAAAGACATATTCAGTCATCCATCAGTATGACTTTTTCATAGCTCAAAACATATCGGGACAAACTTTGTACCTTCTCCCATCTCTGTTATGAATACGACAAAAACTAAAACAAACCTTTGTTAATATATCAAGTTGTTGAACGATATGTTCAAGTGTATTTGTCAGTTGTGGTGGATAAAGTTTTGTTTCTAGACTCTCAGAATATGCACCATCAATATTGTTATCGTCATTATCAAACATATCAGACAACAATGTTCTTCTTGTTGATTGCTGTGTCGTTGTCCGACTGGAATAATTATTGTTATATCTATTTCCATTATTACTTGTGTTTATCAAACAAGCTAAAGCACTATTTGACTAAAATAACAACTACTAATTTTTAGATTAGTGGTTATGAAAAAATATTTTCTCTCTTACCCTAGCAACTCCGTTTTGATAAACTGGTCCAACATTTGTTATTTCAATGCGATCATCGTCCATACTTGTTTTTGATGTTGATTTTGCTTTCAATATATCAATCTTAATTTCAAAATAAAATTCTGCAACAATAAACAATTAGAATTACAAAATATACTTACTTTTCTCGCACGACGTTCATCACTTGTTTCTGGCTGAGATTTTTCTTGTAATGATGAGAATTGTGATGTTGATGATATTTGTTTTTCCTGTTGTTTTTGTTGACGAGTAGCATTTTGAGATGGTAATGCAAAATCGACGTTCTTGTTTTGTAAATCTTGACTGATCAGTCTTGATGCTGCTCTTATATTTGCACTATGCAAAACGTCATCTCCTCTACTACTGGCGACTGGATCAAATGGTACGGTTGCATCAAAATTTGTTTTCCAAACAAGAACCTTGAGAAAAAAGAGAGATAATATTAGTATACTATAATAAAATAACTTCACTACATCGTACTTGTTGATCTTGTCCTCCAGAAGCAAAATAATCACCTTGTTTAGAAAACGTTACAGCCATCGCTGGACCCTAAAGAAAAGCAAGATGATTCGCCAGTATAAAAGTTGATGATCTCTTTTTGATTATGTACCTGATGACCATGCAGCGTATAAATTAATCTTCCTTCTAATAAATCAAATATTTTCAATGTAGCATCACTTGAAGCAGTTAAAAGAAAATTGCCATTTGGATGAAATGAAACATTGTTTACTGAAGCAACATGATCTAAACAAGAATAATGAAATTAGACGTCATTAATTAATAAAACCTAGGGTAAATATTCACTAGCATAATGTTGAATGAGTTTTCTCGTACGTATATCCCATATTTTTACACTAGCATCTGTACAACCTCCACCGATGCACGTGCCACTTGGATGAAATGCAACATCATTCAAAAATCTAATCAATAAGGACGAAATATTACGGATAGCAGGTAAACAACAAAAATTAATCGTACCCATGTGGTTCATAGAAAGTGTGCATACATTCGTTCGTATTTCTATCCCAAATTTTGACTGTTTTATCATCACTACAACTCACGATCAAACGACCATCTGGAGAAAACCTAAAAATCAACATTTTTCAGACGTAACTTAATGCAAGAAAATGTTCATTTACTTGGCACATCGCACCCAATTAGAATGTTGATTTAATGAGAACTGAAACTTTTGTTGATGAACAGTCCAAATCTGGAAGGAAAACAGTGTCAAAATAAAAAAGCATTCATCTTCTAGACGGATGTTTCATCAATTTTCTTAAGTTTATAAACTTGTGCACAGACTTATGTCAACGCTTATTTTGCTTTACTCGTTCATTTAACAGCTTTGACTTAAGACAATTCTGGCGACGTCTTCGGTCAATACTCAACTTAAGATTATGTTCGATGGGGTTAAGAAAAACTTAAATAAAAACGAAGATTTAAGTCAAGATTGCTCACTTACGTTGAAGAGCTACTCAAGAGTATTGATAAAACCAGGGCTGGGCGAATGCGAGCCAAGTCCAAGTCATGAAGCGCGTAAACCGAATCTTAAATCAATTTCAAGTCCGATAATTTTTTCACACATTGTCGTTATTTAAATTTCTTTTTTCTCTTGTGGCGTATAACACATTTTTTTAGCATAATTTTTAAAGAGAGTAACACGTATGCATCTATATATCCTATACTAATATTGAAAAAATGCAAATTTCTCTGTTCATTTATGTTAAAAGTTGAATCGATCGGACTCGAAATACAAAAACACAAGTTTGAGTCCGAGTTTTTCAAAAAACTCTCCATTCTAGACCCGCCCAGCCCTGAATGAAACGATCATAAAACGTACTTTAATTGTTTTATCTTCAGATGAACTCAATAAGCTCTGACCATCATTTGAAAAATCGACACAACGAACAGCAGCTGTATGAGCTTTGAATACTGTTGATTCTCCTTTTCTTGAAAAAAAGTATAAACACATTTCATTTTGGTGAAGATGAATTGCAAACACTTACACGCTTGGTATCCACAGGCGAACTTTCTTATCCTTTGATCCAGAAGCAATCAAATGACCTGATGGTGAAAAACAAACAGAATGTACCGCATCCTAAAAGTCAGAAGGAAAAGAATAATAGAAAGTTGAGCCACCGGTTTTCAAAAATAGAACACAAAATAAAGAGACGGAACTCACATTGTGTCCTACAAAGCGGTATGCTCGAACTTGTGGTTTAAATGGCCATAGAAACAGGCAAGCATCAAGACTGCCAGATACTACAAAACAAATAAACCTTGTAGTTCATAGAGAGTAAACACACAGAGTACCTACCAAGTTGTTTTGTATTTGGACTAAAGCTTAAACACGTTACAGCACTTCGATGACTCTTAAAATGTTTTTCTAATTTTGGATCCTCCTTTAAGTTGAAAGTAATTTTAATATGAAATAACGATCATCCATCAAGAAAAAACATACCATCACAGATCTTTACATGAAACTATTTGTTTCTCGGAATAATTCTGCACATTTTGCTGTCGTTATGATATTCGAGAGATTGTAATCTAAATTTTTTATTTGCAGACAAATACATAAATATAATAACATCACATCCTCATACAGATAAATATAATTAGCGTTCACATTGGCGAAATCATGGACAAGATGTCAGTCAGTCTTGAAAAGCATTTCTTCGGAAGAGAAAACTCGTGTGACTTGGATACTTATTACTAAATAAATCTATTTATCATGAGTACAAACAATTTTAAAAAATTCTGAGAAAACACTCGTAAGTGAGTTCTCATAACATACGAGTCAGTAGCAATGAAAATTTTGGACTCGTTCTTGACATTCGTTCTCAGGACGCAAAACTTTAGCAAGACTTCCAGCACTGCAGATTTGAGAAGAAAAACAAATAGCATGCCAAATCTGCACAATCACATTAGGAGGATTTGCAGATATTCAGCAACGAGACAAAGAATGATCCGGATGTGAGTTAGACATATCAATGGAAACCTAGGAAACGCGTAACCAATTAGGATTTAAACTGCACATCTATGCACGTCTGGTAAACCCAAGTGACAACACCACCAACGTTATGTTCAGCTGGCGATGTAAACTCTCATTTGTTTAACATGAAGACTTTCTCAAGTGTCGTATAAATAAACAATAAAATTCCAAGCATGATTGACTGGCACACCTTGTTGTTATAGTATACGTCTTTCAGAACTAGTGGCGGCGCCACAGGTGGGCTAGGGTTGGCTCAGCCCATCCTAGAATATTTTGAGCCCACCGGCTACATTACAAAGTTCAGTGAGGCCGTGCCCATCCTGGTCAAAAGTCAGGGGGTCTGGGTCCACCCTAGTCTAAATTCCTGGCGCTCCCGCTATTCAGAACGTCGCCGGTATTATTGTCTTTCGCTTTTTTACAAAATTTCTTCGGAAGAAATTTTCTCTCGTTTTTCAACCTCTGATCACCCATGGCAAAATAAAGGTTTCAGGCTTGTTCTCTGCAACTCAAACATCTATCGAGCTTCTTTCATGTCTAATTCTCAATTGAGAATTAGACATGAAAGGAGCCAAACAAAAGGGAGAACATTTTTAGGCATAAGTCGGAAAACGGGTACAGAGTTGTCGGGTCGGGTTGTGTACGAATGGAAAAAAATTTTCGGGTCGATTACGGGTACGAAAATGGTACTCGTGCACATTTCTAATCCAGAGAACTATGTAACGTAGAGACGTACTGAAAACAGGAGATAGCTTTCTAGATTCTGGATGTGGACCATTTCACATTCTTCTTTTAAACAAAAGTCCAGATTCGGCGTGATAAATTTCACAAGCGGAAGAAAATGTCTTGGACTTCGAAATTTTTAATATATTTCTAGTCGTCCGGCACCAATTATTTTTTTTACCAGAAATGAGAAATGAATTTGTGTTATCTTCTAATTAGTGAATTTTTTTCACATACATGCATCTAGCAAAAGATATACTAATTTCTTTTTTCTTTTAAATAATAATTAAAACTTTATTACCACTATAAATCATCGCAAAGAATAAAGTTTTTGAATTTTTTAATGATATCACTGTCTCTGTTAATACAACCGATGTCTATCGACATCGCAACTTATGTGCAGCACAATTGCATTCTAGTTTTGGTATATTTTCTGTGTTCTGTTTTGAATTCGAATCCCTATTCGGACAAAATTGATAGCCTTGTAGAAAGATTGCTCATGAAGTTATGAACTGCTGCCTGTTTCCGAAAAGAATGACCATGGCCATTTCTTGAATTTCTCCGAAACGAAAAGAGTTATGGCCCTGCGATTGGCGCCATTCGGTAGCCAAGACCTGAATGCATCTTTTCATAAGCGGAAGTTTCCTGAAATTATTTCTTAAAAATCTGTTGTCTAAGGAATCTTTGGAAACCACTTCATAACCCAAAAATTTAACATAGCAATGTATTAGTTTTCCTTCAGGGATGGATACACTGTAATTTGAAATTTTCTACTTTATAGGAAATCGAGCGCATTTTCTATAAATTGACTTTTCTCATTTGTCAGAAAATCGATAAGGAATTTCTAAGAAGTTGGAAAATCGACAGCGATTTTCTATAAATAATTTCCAGTATCGTAGAAAATCGACTCATTTTCTAGATTCTAGAAAATCAAAATCGATTTTCTATAAATAAATTTCAACATTCTTGAACTTCGACAGCAATTTTCTAAATAGTTGGAAATCCAATTCGATTTTCTAAGAACATGAATCGGTCATTTTTTTCTTGCTTCTTTCACAACTATTTAAGCCTACTTTGTAACAAGTTGTCCTGTAACAGATCTCTGTTCGTTTTGGTATTTAACGTCGGAAATGTTAGTAGATCGGAAAGTTCTCTCAGTTTTTGCAAATCAGCATATTCTTCGAGAAGTATTGTTGCTGTATGATACTTGGAGATCACAAAGAGATACAAAAGGTTCTTGGGTTGCCTGGTTAAGACAAAGTCGAGTTCCACCGCAACTTTCTGAAGATCGCAAAGCGGTTCGCTCCTGCTAATATTTCTCATTTTTATGTCTGAATTTAGCATCTTCCAAAAATGTACTTGGTTCTATTAACCTAAAGACATGATCCTAACAATTCACATTTATTTTATTATTTTTTAAAAAAAATAACAGTCGTAACATGTGAGGGATGTCGAATTTGGTTTTCATTAGTAAAAGATCCATATTGTCATCCAATAAGCTGAAATACTACACCCCACTCAACTTCGAAGTTCAGTAGCTTTTAATAATGTGCAAAAGTTTATCTTCAGCCATTGTCATTTTGCAAGTCTCTGATTCTCAGCATTGTCACTCAAATTGTTCTTCCGTACCATTTAGAAAATCGCTGAGGATTTTCTAGAAAGTAGAAAATAATCCGACTTTTTGATTTTCTAAAAGTCCATACATAAAAGCCGTGAGGATTTTCTAGACGGAAATTCGCTGAGGATTTTCACATTATTGGAAATTCGATTTTCTATAATCTGGAAAATCCGTGAGGATTTTATATATGGACTTATTGAAAATCACCGAACATTTTCTATAAATAATTCCCGACTTTACAGTGTAGTCCAACGTGTTCTCTTAAAAATGGAAACTAAGCGATTTTCAATCTAAAAGTGAACCCAACTTTGTCTCACTCATTGTAAACATGAAAAAGCTGAAAACTTTACAGTTGCACAAGTATATAACATAAATACAGAGTTATGCGAATCTAAAAAATACATACAGATCACTAATACTCATTCTAAATGAATAGACAAATAGTTAATAAAAAGTTAAAGACGACTAGACAGAATGATTTTACAAAACAGACTTATTCTCCAGAGAACAGGGAGTCTTCGATCGATGAGGCCAAATTTACACCGGTTTAGGTAAAAGAAAGTTGTTGACCGATGATTATTTTTTTAAATTGTATGATTCATTCTGATATATCAGTAACAGTGTCGTTTTTCAGCTGTTATTCATAGTGTTACTGTAACACTATGAATAACAGCTGAAAAACGATGTTTCGCTGAGAATCTATAACATGCTCACACTTCTTATTGCTTAACCCTTTACGGCCGGGTGTTGACTACCGGTAACATTGATCTATTAAGTGTCGAAGGAATTTCGTTCTAAAAGAATACACTTTGACGATTCTGTCACAGCAAAACAATAAATATAAAGGGAGGAATATTTTTATCAGTTAATTTTTGGCAGCCGACAAAAAAGGAATATACACAGAAGGGAATATTGTTACTAAATGGCTTATGCAGCCGGCCGTAAAGGGTTAAAGTATCAAAGTAAGAAATTGTTTGATAATTCCCATTGCTGTAGATGGATATATTCGCTTCTACGGATTGCAAGAGCGAACATGTCGTCTAGGATACACCAGTATTTTAGATTAAACAATTCAATTTTATATAATTTTTTTTATTAAGATCTTCAAACCCTTTTTTTATTTTGGTGCCCTATTGCTGTACCCTATTTTTTACGTGAATAAGTCCCATCTTGTAGTATACTCATCATAAAACAAAAACAAAAATCTTGCCGAATATACAACACTCAAGTGCCCATGAAGTATTCATAACAGAGTTAAGAAAAAACATACAGGATTCATCTATGATGATCTACTCAGCTTATACATCTAATGCTAGATCACCTGACAGAAGATGGAATTCAATTAATGGTAGCAGAAGAACGCCAGTTCGTCAAAGTAGAAGTCCAAAGAGGTCGATTGGAAAATCAACAGCCGGTAGAAAACCAAAAAATAGCCCAAGATTAAAATTGTCCAGAAAAACAACTAAACAACGTTTGTTGTCGATAAAGAAGACAAAAAAACAAGTAAAACCTTTATCACGAAAGCAATCTTCTCCGCGAAGTTCTAGGAAAGCGGAGAGAAAGAATGGAAAAAAAACGACTAAATCTCTTGGAAAAAGTAAGAATAAACGGAGAGCAAACACACACGGTAAAAACAATCCAATTGTAGGGAAATCAATTCATAATGTATCAAAAGAGCCACTAAATCGAGAGAAAAGTATGATGGCATTGAGAGATTTGGCTAAAAAAATTGCAATTTATAAACAACAGTACGGTGATACAGAAATTCGACACTCCTCAGTTATAATTCGTTCAAAAAGAAAAGTTGCTCCCAAACGAAGAAATAGTGTGACGAAATAAATGTTTAATATATAAATTCTTGTTATTCTCCTGTTTACAGAAATACATTCTCATTTTGAAGTTTGTTTGTAGTATATATCCCACTTTTACTAACTTATAGAACGGAGAATTTTCTTGAAGACGTTTAACACAAAAACAGTGAAAATGATCAAAATTCGAACGAGATAAGTGAAATGTTGCTCTGTAGATCGGCAGGGTTGTTAAACCGTCATGTATACTCTAATTAGAGACCATCACAGGACAGGGTTGCCCTCTTGTCCTGCCGGGCAGGGCGGTATATTTTTTTTGCCCTACC